TATGAGTCTACATTGCCAGATGATTTGGGATAAGTAGATAATCTGGAATCAGATCCTGTGATAAAGGGCAGTGTAGATCCAGCCCAAGAGATGCCTTAGGCCAGTGGTTGCCGACCTTTAGTTCTCAACTTGTTTTGGACTTCAACTCCCCAAAATCCCAGCCAGTTTACCAGCTTTTAGGAATTGTGCGAGCTGAAGTCCAAAACACCTGGAGGACCAAAAATTGGGAACCACTGTCTGAGACAGATGGACTTCAATCCATCTCCTCCATTTGACTATAGGTCTGATAAGACTGCCAGCTAAGTACTACTATGGAAGAACAATAAAATAGTGTAATCATACAACAAATCCAGAAAATTAAATCAAAATAGCAAATCAAAGGAGAAAATCATGCCACATAAAGAAAAATAAATCACAATGAATGTGTTAAACATAACTCAAAAACATGAAAAAATTGCTCATAGATATAAAACTATATAATAAAGATGTAATATGCTAAAAACACCACAAGACCTACTCTTGTTTATGTAAACAATAAGATCCAATTAACATTTGTCTCATTTAAAAACCTCTATTACTTAGATTACAGTTAGCCATTTTCAAAAGCCTGCTTCCAAAGCTATGTTTTTTTGTTCCTTCCTAAAGGTCATTAATGTGGGAGCCAGCTACACTATAGAATGAATTCAATTTGACATCACATGTCTCAATGTCATGGAATCATGGGAGTTTTAGTTTTACGAGAAATTTAGCTTTATTTTGTCATAGTGTGCTGGTGTCTCACCAAATTACAACTCCCACAATTCCATAGCATGAGCCATGGTAGCTCAAGTAGTGTCAAGCTACACTGATTCTACAGTGTAGACACACCCTATGAGCTTTTTCTAGCCCCGAGTAGAAACACTTTATTTTCAAAAATAAACCACAATTTTCAAATGCATCAAGAGCAAGTCTTTTGTAAAGCTAATGGATCTTAACTGACCATTCAGGACCAAGTCATCTTACAGTACTTTGCAATGGCATAACTATATCAGCCAGGAAAATACACTTCTTTTATGCTACTAGGAGAGAACAGATGGCAAGGAGATTGTATTCCTTCTCCCTGTATTGGCAGCTCACGGTCCAAGAAAGGGCGTGTTCCCCACTCTGCCATTAAAGCTCCTCCTAACTTTGCAAATCCAAAAGGGTTAGCACAGAACTACAAAAATTTACTTCTTGTGTTGGGAGAAAAAAGGACCACTGGTGAATTTAGTTTACTTGGTATACATGAAAACCCAAGGGCTGTATGACCACTTGTGCTAAAACACTCCTTGAAGCTGAGCCAGGTCATCGTGCCAAAGACATTTTTCATCCAGTACCAACTGTGTCAGCTAGCCCATGACTTCTTTATAGTAGTCAGAACACTACACACTGTACATCCTCAACAAACCTTTGACAACTGTAACCTATCCGCATGTAACATTGAAAATGTTGCTAATGGAGTTGAGATTTTATTGCCTAGATTTCACAATTCTTTGTATCCCAGGCCCCTTCCACATAGCTGAATAAAATCCCACATTATCAGCTTTGAACAGAAATATTTGGCAGTGTGGACTCAAATAATCCAGTTCAAAGCAGATAATGTGGGATTTTCTGCCTTGATATTCTGGGTTATATGGCTGTGTGGAAGGGCCCCCAGTGCCCAGAGAGGGAAGTGACCTCTCTCTGCACTGATACCCCTCCAGAGTATCTTAACTGGTGATAACAACAAAACATCTCAACAAACAATAGTCCTGTGAATCTAACATTGTCATTTTCTTCTTCTTCTTCAATATAATTTTAAACACTTTTGCTTGCTGAAGAAGTCTGGGGAACTTTGAAAACTTGCATAAGATATTTTGTGCATAAGATATATTTGGTTGGCCTAACAAATGTATTACTGTTTTGAAGACTTTGGATGTTATTTCAAAATATGTGAGTTTCACTTTTGTCTCCCTTTGCACAAGAACTGTCTTGTTATTCCACCAATTATTTTAAAACTGAGTCATGGCTTTCAAACAAATACCTAGTGTCCTGATTCCAACAATTATTTATTTGTGTGTGTGTGTGTGTACGTGTACACAGGGTAATTCAAAAAGATGGACCTGATCTCAAATTGATGTATCTCTGCAAACACAAACCACCCATGAATGAAACTCTGACCACTTGAAAGAGTGGGGCAAAGAGATTCAAAGGATTATCACTAGATGTCTTTCCCAGTACACAAGAAGCCCCTAGCCTTAGTTATTCACAAGATGGATGACCCTGCAACATAAGGGCTAATGAGATATTCTCCATCTACTGTTATTTAAAAAAAAGTTCCTGCCTCAATTGTTTCAAAATGGTTAACAAAATCTGGTAACTTGATAACTCATTAAACCATTTGTTTCTTTTTGTGTAACTGTAACATGTTGCCATTCTGAAATATACTGCTTTGGTTTCTGACAAAATAGTGAAGAGTAGAGACATCACACTGGCAACAAATATCTGCACAGTTAAAGCAATAGTATTCCCCGTAGTAACCTATGAATGCAAGAGCAGGACCATAAGGAAGGCTGAGCGAAGGAAGGTTAACACTTTGAACTGTGGTGTTGGAGGAAAATTCTTAGAGTGCCTTGGACCGCTAGGAGATCCAACCAGTCCATACTCCAGGAAATAATACCCGACTGCTCACTGGAGGGAAGGATATTTGAGGCAAAGTTGAAGTACTTTGGTCACATAATGAGAAGACAGGAAAGCTTGAAGAAGACAATGTTGCTGGAGAAAATGGAAGGAAAAAGGAAGAGGGGCAAACCAAGGGCAAGATGGATGGATGTTATCCTTGAACTGACCGGCTTGACCTTGAAGGAGCTGGGGGTGGTGATGGCCGACAGGGACTCTGACGTGGGCTGGTCCATGAGGTCACAAAGAGTCAGAAGGGACTGAATGAATAAACAACAAAAACTGCTTTGGAACTGGGTCCATCATTTTGAAAAACCCTGAATATGAAACACTGTAGAACTGCCTTGTCTCCCCATGGCTTATGCAAAGAGTCAGGATGGTTTACTTGAACTATCTCTTCTTAGTCCTTTGATTTGTTTATTTAATTTATATCCACCCTTTCTCCCAAAATTGGGACCTAAAGTGGATTGCAACATGATTTTAAAACTAGTACAAATAAAATGACAGAAATTCATATTATTAAAACAAAATTAACCACATAATGTCACAACGTAATTCAAATTTTAAAGCACAGTTTTAACAGTACACCAATAGAAATAAAAAGTAACACAAGTACAATTAACAAGTAATTAAAAACCAGTATGGTGCAGCAGTTCGAGCATTTCTCTAAGGCTGCATCTACATCTAGAATGAATGCAATTTGACATCCCTTTATCTGCCATGCAGGCATGTAGCGGGGGGGGGGGGGGGGGCTCGGGGGGCTTCAGCCCCCCCCCCGAAATTCTCATGGTGGTTCGCGAAAAGGCCTTACTGGTGCATTATTTAAACTGTTATGTTTATTCATATCATGATCTGATCACCATACTCAATATATCCCATATGCATGGGGGTATTGGGGTAATGATACAAAAGGTTTGCTAGGCTAGACCCTCTTTCACTCAGACTCAGCCCCCCCCCCAAAACTCAGCCCCCCCGAAACCCCCCCTGAAATTCGCCCCCCCCCCCCCGAAATGAAATCCTGGCTACGGGCCTGCTGCCATGGCTCAACACTATGGAGTCACGAGAATTATAGATTTATAGGTCATTAGCCATCTCTGTGAAGAGTGCTGGTGCCTTATCAAACTACAGCTCCCAAGATTCCGCAGCATTGAGCCATGGCAGTTAGACTGGTGCCAAACTGCATGCATTCTGCAGATGCACCCTTAGACACCAAGAAACTAGGGTTTGGATCAATACTTGGTCATGGAAATCTATGTTGGGCAAGGAAACCTCATGATATGTTTGCTTCAGGGGTACCATATTTATTTATTATTGTTTCAGGGGAACTATATTTATTAATTTCTCCTCATGAGGACTCAAGGTGGATTAGAATAACATGGCACAACTCAGTAAATTTAAAAACATGTTAAATGCAAAAATTAAACAATTAAAAAACAATTAAACAAGTTAAATTACAGTCAAGATACAATAAAATACTTGTACAATTAAAATTGCATATAAAATTAAATATCTCCCCAACCGACACCCATAACCTCCCCAGCAGTGTGCCCGCCATCTTCCCCCAAACGGCTGATAGCAAAGAAATGTCTTAACCTCCTTGTGAAAGATCAGCAAGGGTTTTATAGGTCAATCTGAGCCCTTTGAATTGTGCCCGGAAACAGGCTGGAAGCCAGTGGAACTGTTGCAACAATGGAATTGAAAGCTCCCTGTAGGCAGCCCCAGGTAATAACCTGGCTTCTGCCCTATGGACCAACTAAAGCAGGGGTCCCCAAACTAAGGCCCGCTGGCTAGATGTGGCCCTCCAAGGTTACTTACCTGCCCCCTGCCTCAAACTTTAGACTTAGGATTGCCCTCTGTCTGAAACGACTTGTAAACACACAAAAACAACAACAATCCTAATTGACTCGACTATCTTATCAGCCAAAAGGAGGCCCACATTTCCCATTGAAATATTGTATTGTTCTTTCTTTTTCTTTTGCACTGCAAATAAGATGTATGTAGTGTGCATATGAATTTCTTCATTTTTAAAAATACTATAGTCCAGCCCCCCAATAGTCTCAGGGACCATGAACTGACCCTCGGCTGAAAAAGTTTGAGGCCCCCTGGACTAAAATTTCTGAGCACTTTTTGAAGGCAGCTCTGTATACAGCACATTATGTATCCCTGTGGCAAGACCTGACCATAGGTCGGAAATGACTAGAAAGCACAATAACAACAGACTGCATGGCCACACATTACAAACACAGTCTTTAGCTGCCAGTTGCTGAAAATGTGATAAAAAGAAGCTTTGTTTGCAGGCAAAAAAAAAAGAGGCCTAACCTCACCTTCTGTTCACATGCTTGAGAGCAGCCATAGACAACGTCCCTCTGAGAATGTCAAAATTATAATCCTATTTCCCATGCAGATCTCAAATCCGTAGCATGACTGGTATTATTGGTTGAATCACTCCTTTTGTGCCCTTCCTGGAAAATCAAGCCAACTTTCCATACATTAAAATAAACACTGGTGCATCTAACACTGGAGATCAGTGGTCCCAACCTGTGGTCCATGGATGACCAGTAGTCCGCAAGAACTAAATTATGGTGTGAAGCCTCACTGTTACTACATCATTGCAATGATTGGTCTCGTGACGCCCTCTTATAGTGTTGAGGCAATGGGGATGTTGGGAGGGGAGAGGTTGACTATCCATGAAAAGCGCCACAACAAGCTTCTCCTTCTCCCTTTCCGTGTGCAGCTATTCCATGTGGCACCTGGAAACGGTGGTGCCTTGGTGTCTTTGTTTTTAGGCCTGTTCCTGGGGTTATTTGGGATGCAGATTTAGAAAATTGCATTGGATAGACTACATCTGCTCTAGATTTATTTATTATTTGTTTATTTACAGCATTTATATACCGCTTTTCTCACTCCAAGGGGGACTCAAAGTGGTTTACACATGGATAATGGCAAAAATTCAATACCTTACAAGTACAACATTAAAACCACACTTTAAACATAAGGTAAAGGTTGTCCCCTGACATTAAGTCCAGTCATGTCTGACTCTGGGGTGTGGTGCTCATCTCCATTTCTAAGCTGAAGAGCCAGCGTTGTCCTTAGACACCTCCAAGGTCATGTGGCCAGCATGACTGCATGGAGCGCCGTTACCTTCCCGCTGGAGCGGTACCTATTGATCTACTCACATTTGCATGTTTTCGAACTGCTAGGTTGGCAGAAGCTAGGGCTGACAGCGGAAGCTCACGCCGCTCCCCGGAATCGAATCTGCGACCTTTTGATCAACAAGCTCAGCAGCACAGTGCTTTAACCCACTGCGCCACCCAAATCATATTAAAAACAGTACATCATCAAATATCAAAACAGTTATTAAAACCATAAAACCATAGATTAAGTATGTTTACTGTGGGCAAGCAGATGGCAACTACTTGATGGCATACATTCTGTATCAGAAATTAGAGCTGATGTGGTCTATCCAAAGCAATTTTCTGAATCAGCATCCCAACTAACCAAACCAAATATAAAGTTGATCAAAAAAACCCCTCATGTTAGAGAGTGGTCCCTGGTCAAAGTGGTCCCTGCTGAAAAATTGGTTGGGAACCACGGAGCTATGAAAAACCATGTATAAATGGACATATAGCCCGAAAAAAACCTACAACAATGCAATAAATAAATATGTTCTGTATGAGAAACTAGGGCAGATGTGGTCTAGCCAATGCAATTTTCTGAATCAGCACCCCAACTTATCAAACCTAATCTAAAGTTGACTAAAAACTGATTTGTAACCCTTTTGGTACTAATGTTGGAGAGTGGTCCCTGGTCAAAAAAAGAAAAAAGAAAAAAAAGATTGGGCACCTCTGCTGTCGATTGAGCAGGAATGCAGTTTGCTAGCCTTCGATCTGGCAGGAGCCAAGGCCATGGGATCCCAAGACAAGGCCTTGCGCCTTCTCTGCCAAAGAGTGCTGGGTCCTCCCCAAACTGCAGCTCCCAACGATGACATAGCGTTGCGACCCGGCAGCTGAAGCGGGGTCAAAGTGCCCTCATTCCCCAGTGTAGAAGCACCCCGCGTCCGTCCCCCCCCCCGCCCCCGGTCTCTTGTACCTGGGAGTGGCGACCTCGGCGTCTCTCCAACCAGGGTCGTGGCGCGGCATTGGCAGCCTCCGTGTTTTCGAAACAGAAGGCAAAAGGCCCCGGCGGGCGAAGAAAGGAAGGAAGGAGGGAGGGAGAGGAAGAGAGAGAGCATGCACATCCGCTGGCGAAGGAGGGGGGTTGGCTGCAGCCTGGCAGGGAGGGAGGGAGGAAAGCAGAAGCAGAAGCCTTCTCGGTTCCTCACAACCTCTGAGGATGCCTGCCATAGATGCAGGCGAAACGTCAGGAGAGAATGCTTCTGGAACATGGCCATACAGCCCAGAAAACGCACAGCAATCTCCTCGGTTGGCTGCTTCAATATCGCTACCTCCCTGGCTTCTTTTTATATATATATATAATACTGTAGAATGAATGCAATTTGGCACCCCTTGAACTGCCAGGGCTCAATGCTACGGGTCATGGGAGTTGTAGTTTCAGAAGCTCTTTAGTCTTGGGTTGCTGTGAGTTTTGCGGGCTGTCTGGCCCTGTTCCAGAAGCATTCTCTCCTGACGTTTCGCCTGCATCTATGACAGAGGATGTGAGGTCTGTTGGAAACTAAGAAAAGATATCTAAACCCACTTTTCCTAGTTTCAATAGACCTCTCAACCTTTGAAGATGCCTGCCACAGATGTGTGCGAAACATCAGGAGAAAATCCTCAGAGGTTGTGAGGTCTGTTAGAAACTAGACAAGTGAGGTTGATATATCTGTGGAATAATGTCCAGGGTGGGAGAAAGAACTCTTGTCTTCCTGAGGCAAGTGTGAATGTTACAATTGATCACCTTGATTAGTACTGAATAGCTAACCAGGGCCAGCTAGCATCTTCAACAAAGGATTCCTTCAGGCAGGAAACAGCCAGGCTTTGAAGCTGCAAGGCTATTCAATGCTAATCAAAGTGGCCAATTGAAATATTCACACTTGCCTCAAACAGATCTTTCTCCCACGTTGGACATTCCATAGATAGATAGATAAACTTGCCTAGTTTCCAACAGACCTCCCAACTTCTGAGGATGTCTACCATAGATGTGGGTGAAATGTCAGGAGGGAATGCTTTTGGAACATGGCCATACAGTCCGGAAAACTCACAGCAACCCAGTGATTCCAGCCATGAAAGCCTTCGACAACACATTATTATTATTATTATTAGTAGTAGTAGTAGTACTACTACTACTAGTATCTTGCTTTTCTCTCCAAAACAACACTCAAGACAGCAAATATTAAAACAGTATTAAATATCATTAGTATAAAAATAATTCAGTTAAATCCATAAAAACATACTCAAAACTACAAGTCTGCTACCTTAATCAAGGCCAGATCCTGCAAACAAGTTCTGTGTGCTGCTTTTCATCTGATTAGTTTCAGTAGTCTCATGGTGATGAACTTGCAGGGGAAGATTAGGATCAGAAATGGGTTTCAAGGAGTCCTGGTAGTGTCACTGGCACTAATATAATATAGTACTCCCCGATTAATCACATTTTCTACTTTGGATTGAATTTTGGCATCAAGAATCTTGCCATCTTGGGGTCTCAGATGAAGCAAAATATATATTTCTGAGAAGGTAATCTGCAAACTATATCAGAGAGAACTGGCCTTAGGGCCCAGAAATATAATAATAATAATAATAATAATAATAATAATAATAAATTTCTTACCTTCTCTCTCCTTGAGATGAGAAACAGAACAATTGAAGCACATAAATATTGTAAAAGTACCACAAATTCATATATTACAATGTATTTCTATAAAAGATACATGTTAAAATACACACAAAAAAGATTTAAAAAAGGACACAAGTTTAAAATTCATGCTTAAAAACTGGCTGGGTAGGCCTGCCGGAAGAGATAGATCTTCAGGTAGTTTTAAAATTCCTACAGCTAATTTAGCTGTCAGAGCTCTTTTGGCAGGTTGTTCCACAGTCTTGGGGCGGCTGATGAAAAGGTCATCTGGGTAACCATCACCAGTTGGGTTCTGGCTGGTTGGAGTAACCATCCCCAGCGGACCAGTGTGTGGGGTGGATTATATGGGAGAAGGCAATCTTTTAGGTAAACTGGACTCTAACCATGAAGGGCTTTAAAGGTCAAAACCAGCATGTTGTACTTTGCCCAGAAACTAATTGGCAGCCAGTGGAGTGACTTTAGGATAGGTATAATTTGCTCACTTCTAGATGTTCCTGTAACCAATCTGGCTTCCATATTTTGAACTAATCATACAAAGGTAGTCCAATATAAAGCTCATTGATATTTGGAATGCAGTTTTGCATCACTTGAACTGCCATGGCTCAATGCCACAGGATCATGGGAGCTGTAGCTTTACAAGGTCTTCGCCTTCACTACCAAAGAGTGCTGGTGCCTCACCTTCCAGAATTCCATAGCATTGAGCCATGGCAGTTCAAGTGGTGTCAAACAGCATTGAATCTGCAGTGTAAAGGCACCCTTGATAATTAAACACAGGGCTCTGTGTCCACAGATGTGACTATCAAAGGCTTGAAAATGTTGCCAACCTAACTGGCAATCGGGGCGGCTCAACCCATTACGCAAAGTAAGCATTTGCAGTATAGTTGATTTTGCCCAGGGGCGCCCTTGAGGCACTCTTGGGGGAAAATAGACCTTGACATATGCGAGTTGTAGTTACTGGGATGTATAGTTCACCTACAATCAAAGAGCATTCTGAACTCCACCAATGATGGAATTGAACCAAATATGGCACACAGAACTCCCACAACGAACAGAAAATATATATCAGTGATTGGTAGGGGGGGGGACGGGACCAAAATACTGTTTGCTTACTGTTGAAAATTACCTAGGGCCGCCTCTGCTGGCAATGATACCAAGGCTTACTAAATATACAAATAGGCATCAGTGTCCATTTTTCAAAGAATACATGGAAAGCATGACAGCCAGTTTAGTGAAATGATCTTGGTCCCTACTTGCCCGGTGTTTGGATGTGCAGTGGTTACTCTGTGTGTGTGCGCACACGCATGCGTGGGGTGTGTATGCGAATCCCATTGAGTAAACCATCAGAAAGTGTGACACTAAAATTATTGTCTATCAACTTTTTGTCTATAATATTTCAGCAGAAATGTAGTACTGAAAAAAGTCCTGTAGTGACATACAACCACAAAAAAACCTATTTTAATAAGTCCATCTCACACATACTGTATTAATGCACCCACAATGTAAAGCTCTATGTTACTTCACTTTCTGAATCTTGTAATGCACAGAGCTGTCAGTATTACCCAATTACCATGACACTTCAAATCATGTGATTTCATCTGTGTGGCTAAAAGGCTGATGCGGTTGTTTCCATTCTTGCTGATTTTGTAAAATAGCTGTTGAGTTTGTTTTGGTCAAATTTTAGCTACAATATTGTGATGTGGTCTGATATGGGAAGAGGCCCATGAGAGTAACACCATGGGTGCATCTACACTGTAGTAGTAGTAGTAGTAACAACAACAACAACAACAACAACTACTACTACTACTACTACTTTATTTTTGTACCTTGCCTCCATCTCCCTGAAGGGACTTGGGGCGGCTTACATGGGGCCAAGCCCGATCAAGACAATTAAAATCTGACACATTAAAATACAGAACAGCAATATAGAACAAAATAAAACAACACATTATAACAATTTTAAACAAGCAGAATTAATCCAATTTGACACCACTCTAGCTGCTTTGGCACAATGTTATGCAATCATGGGAGTTGCAGTTTTGCAAGGCCTCTAGCCTTCTTTGCCAAAGTGCTGCTACCTCACCAAACTACAACTTGCATGATGGTGGATTGGGTAAGGGGAGTAACAAATGCCTCACTACAACAAGGCAAGAGTCCTTCTTGTCTAAAAGAGATTGTGGTGGGGCATTATTGGAAAAAAATCCTCCCTGGACCGCACAACACTAGGAAATGATTTATTCATTCCCAAGATCCCTGTTTCGAGCAAGC